TAAGTTTCGCATTTGAGAATATTCTTTGTATGCCAAAGGTTATTCTTTTTATTTTTAGAAAAATAATTTAGGGATACTTTTTTTATAGGGCAATGGTAGTCTGGTGGACCAATAAAGAGGACGAATGCATGGACGAATGACTTGGCAAAGCCACATCATTAATATATAAATTTTTAAAAAATTTAAATCAACTAATTTTGACTGTTTTCTCCAGTGTTTTTGGACCCGGTCCGGCTCGACCGGTTGAACTGGTTGAACCGGATCCAGGCTTGAAAACGGACCGGGCCAGTACCTTAACCCATTTTGCAAGTTCACCCGTTTTGGCCCGCCGGTGCCCGCCCAACCCGCTGAAACCGCCTAACCCGCTGAAACCGCTTAACCCGCTGAAACCGCCTAACCCGCCTAACCCGTCGGGCTGCATGAATTTGAGTTTTTACTTTTTAATGAGTTAATATTAATTAAATTTATTTATTTGATTTTTAATATAATTAGTTAATTACCCACACCATTAACTTTAATTAAAAATTAAAATCGCACATCGATTAAAAAAACAAAACTCTCAGAGGATTAGATCTTCCTATTTGCTATTTCACTGCAAATTGCAAAAGCAAACCCAAGAGAAATTAGAAACAAAAGAGAGCAGAGGAAGAGAAGAACAGCACCACCAGACCACCACAACCACACACCAATCACCACCGCCAGCCTTTCCTTGCCCGATCTCAGCCAGAAATCGCGAACCTACTGCTCGCTCGTGGCCTCTGTCTGTGGCTTGCAGTCCTTTATCTCTGCAGAAGCAAAGCCAGAAAGCAAGCCCTTCATCTCTGTGTAGAAGCAGCCAGAAAGCAGAAAGAAAACAGAGCAGCGAAGTCACCGGCGGCCAACTGCCTCCGCGATCTCAGTCGTCGGCGACTCCACAGCTACCTCCCAGGATCTCAGCCAAAAATGGCAAACCTGCTGCTCGCTCGTGGGCTCCGTCTGCGGCTTCCAGTCCTTTGTCTCTGTAGAAGCAAAACCAGAAAGCAAGGTTCATCTCTGTGCAGAAGCAGCTAGAAAGCAAAAAGAAAACAGAGCAGCGAAGTCACCGGCAGCCAACTGCCTCCCCGATCTCAGCCGTCGCGACTCCACAACTGCTTCCCCTGATCTCAGCCTTTCGCCGCTGCCCTTCCTCTCCTTCCACTGACAAAACAGATTTGCATTTGCATAAATTGCATTTGCATCGGGTATAAAAATGTAAAAAAAGAAAATGGTTTTTAGTCAACCGGTTGAACCGGTCGGGTGAACTGATTCAACCGGTTGAACCAGACCCGGTGGCCAAAACGAGTCAGCCACCGGACCGGGTACAAAAACATTGGTTTTCTCTTTATCTCTTTCCCGTTTCCTTTTCTTCAAAACTTCTGTTTTCCTCTCTCATCTCCCCATTTTTTTGCCAAGCTCCTCCATTGCATGGACCTCTCCAAACTCAAGGACTAGGCTTAAACGCATCCTGGCAATCAAAACCCATAGCTGTCATTTTAAAATTTTCAAAAGAAAAAAAGAAAAGGAAAGAAAAACTAAACCTTAACTATTTGGTAAAATTGAACCCT